CTTAAGGAACCTCGTTTTCTTTTTAACTGTTTAATTTTCTCATCTGCCGACATCTTTTTAAATTATATATCAATTCGATAAATACACGATCTTTTAAGAAAAACTAATCGGTCTTCTCAGTCCCAGCAGGGATGCCATGTAAAAAATTATTTATCAATCAACTCAAATAAATTCAATAATAATTCTTAATTAAAGGTAAAGGCAAAATTACCTTACCTGCAATTTCTGTTGTTCTTCAATTTTCCCGGTGAGAAGATGGAAAGCTTTTCTTTCGCTTTAAAAAGGATCGCTACTCTTGTAAAAATAAAAAGATGTCAATAATAAAAAGTAACAAGTTCTGCCATTAAAGGAATTAACTATTTCTTTTTAAAACATTTAATATTTAACACAAAACGTAACAAGAAACATAATTGAAAACGAAACATTAAGCTTTTTTGAAATGAGCATAACATATCAACCTCTTTACTCTGAGGCGATCATTCCCCTTCTGTTTACAAAACTTCCGCCACGCCACAGTTACAGTTAAAATTTTAAAGTTAGATTGTTCTTCGCAGTTTCTCGACAGGAACATCAGATATTATTGACTTTATGTGTTGTTTTTGAGAAAAATCTTCGTACCCATATAACTTCTATGATATCTTTTGTATTTTGAGTTCTTCATCAACAAACATGTCAAAAGCTAATTTTGGATACCTTTTATATTAATAAAAATTATAAAAAGCTTATCAAAGTTAGAAATAGAACTTATGTACATATTTGTAGAGTAAAAGTAAGTTATAACAACAACTCAGAATAGTAGGTGGAATGGTTGTTATAGTGAGCTTGTTATAAACAAATACACATGTTTAATGTTAAGCTAACTAAGACTAAAATGTAAATTAAATACATTTTCTCTTTTTTACCTTTTATTTGAAACAACTGTTTTGATTTAAAATACATGACTTGAGTTTATTGTGTATTGTATACAATTTATTACGTTTCTGGCTTTATGGGAAGACCAAAAGGCTTGATAATTTTTACTAAAGTGCATTGGTAATGATTTTAATAAAATAGACAATATAATATGATTTTGTAATGCATGATAGAATTTAGTAATTTTATCATATTACCTTAGAGCTGGGTTACTAAAATTTTTTGATGTGGAAGATCCTATAATATTTATAAAAATTTTGTGGGACCCCAGCATTGCTCAAATCCGATAAATAGATTAATGAAACTGTCAGTTTCTTCACTTGAAGTAATATACTATTGCAGTTTTAAGTGTTTAATTTTTAATTAAGATTTATAACTATATGAAAATTGCCTGAGACCCTGGCATAAAAACCATTTATTCATTTAAAGTTACTTTTCAGTTTTGTATTTTTTAAATAGATGTGTTTAATAAGAACAATTAATTTTAAAACCAGAATTTCTGGTTAACCTTTACTATATGAACCGGAAAATAACAAAACGAATGGTTTAAACTCGATATATTTTGGTTAATATATTATTAACTAGACTTATGGTTTTTTACCAGAATTTTTTTTTCTGTGCTTCATATGTAAAGGAAGGGATGTGCTAACACCACTTTTGCGATCGCATTGACACAAAACTTTAGCTGAAGATATTGAAAATGTTTCTTATTTTTAATTATCGATACATTTGTAGGTAATTTCAGAATATAAAAAAAAATTTAAAAAACTCAACGAAAATTATTATAAATTATTTTATGATCTCATATGGCTAAAAATTGCTGATATCTAAAAATTTTCTGAAAAAAAATATGATAAATGTAAAAGCTTTTTAATGATATTTTTTCAAAATATAGGAAAAGCACAAATGTAGGAGAATTCTGCTAGGCCTGTAAAGAAAATTTTGCTTCATCGACCAAAGATATGACATTATAAATCGTTGTTTATGTTTTTTATTTTTATTTTCATAAAAGCTTTTACTGGTAAATTCATGTATTCATAAACTGTATAGTTTAAAAAATGTAAATAAGTGTGGTAAAATGTAATAGGATAAAAAAATATATGTAAATATGTAACAGACATTTCCTGGCAACAGTATTTAATTATGCAAAAATTTATAATTTTACTTAGTGTTTTTTTATAACTTTATGACATTGTATTTAGAGTATTTTGTACTATTATGAAATATGGACTTAGAGGAATTTCTCATTTCTGGAAAGTGATTCATTGATGGCAAGGTGTTATGTTTTGAACAGCTGTACCCCAAGTTCCTATTTAATTATTTTCTTTAAACTTTCTTTTTCTTAAATAATGTTTTATGATTTTATATTTTTGTACTTGACCCTGTCTACTGACATAATGTTTTGTAGAAAAACCATTTAAAATTTCTTAAACCTTGGAGAAAAAAAATTTTTTTTTTTTAAGCAGTCAATAAAAGGTACTTAATAATGATAACAACTCATACAATAATATCTTTTATATAAATCTTTCTTCGTTTATTTTTCAATCCTAAAGTTTCTAGGATATTTTTTTTTTGTACTTCACACTTAAGCAGTCAAGCCAAATGTAAAGAATTTTTAAAGACTTTCTCTTCAAAAGTTTGCTCTCAATTATGATGCTAATGCAATTATGATATTGATTTAACCTAAGCGGTATGGCGATTGTCCCTGATACTGATTCATTATATTTTAACAAAGTTTTTTTTTTTATTACTCAAAAATAACCTTTCAACATCAAATAGGTAGTTCTAATGGTGTTTTTATTGGTGACAAAGATGCTGAATCTATATTAAAACTGGTGATTTCAAAACACTTTAATCCCTATTAATTTTAATTAAAAGTTTAAGAATATTTTTGCTTTAAGCTCTCTTATTTAGTAATGACATAAATTTTGAACGTTTTTCTTTCTGTGATGTTTGTGTTTTAACTTTTTCTTTATAATAAAGGGTCAAATCTTATTTTATTTGCCTTTTTTTAAAAAATTTGCTTTTATATTTTAATCAATATACAATGTGTATATATATATATATATATATATATAGGAAAAAATATTGTCACTAAGAGAACAATCCTATCTAGTTGTCATATTTTGCATATTTTACTTTTAGAATTATTATTTTATTTAATTGCATAAATAAGATTTTAATTACTATTTAATTCATAATGCTTATATATTTATTAGTTTCTTTTGGGAGCTGATTTAGTATTTATAAAATGTGTCTGAAAGGGAATTTTGTTCATCTATTTGAGTAGAACCCTGAATGGTGTTAAGCAGAGCTAATTTTAAATTCAACTGACTCTTATGTTATAGGTGCTAAATATTTACTACTTATGCAAAATATCTTTCTATTTTGAGAAACCAATGCCGTAATAACTTTTTTCAATGAATTTTTGAACATCAAATTACATTAAATAATAAATTTGTAACAAAAACTATCAGTGCTGAGCGCTATGCACAGTTTTATGCACAGTTTTGATCGTTTGCTTTTTATGATTAAGAAGAAGGCAGTTGTAAAAATATTTTATAAAAATATTAAAAAAATACTTCAAAATATTTTAAAAGATATTTATTCATTTGGGCAGAATGCGGTTTGAAATGATTCAGCATAAATAATTCATAGAATTTAAATCTTTACTTGTTGTAATAAAGACGCATTAATAGGAGGTAAAAAAGCACATGACTGAACATTTTATGCACCAAAACTTTAATAGTTTTTTAACTGTCAATGAAATGAAGTGTTCATATCAATTGCTTTAAAAAAGTATTAGGATACTTGCTTGGTTAGCAGTGTCAGATGCATAAATGTCAGAAATGATGACAGTCAGAATTTTCTCCGGTTTCTATATAAAACTTATATAACATCTTAACTATTAGTTCAATCAACTTGGGTGTGATTTCACTCAATTCAGTGTAAAAAATGACATAGTAAACATATTGCTTGTCTAAATAATAACATGTAAATTTTGTCCTCTTTCTCCCCTTCCCCTCAGTGAATTATAGATAAAGACTTCAGCTCATTTTGGAGGTGAATATTAACTTTAGATATTTATATTGGGCCTTAATCACATTTAAGTTTCTTGCTACTTTAATATCATGCCGAATGTAGTTCTACTGTATCTTGATTTTTTGTATGAATTCCTTGAAATATATACCTTTGTGGTTCACTGTTGACACAAGTCAGTTTTGATAGTCAAAACCTTTTTATGAAGATTTTTGAATGACCTTTGAGGCAAAAGTCTGCTGTAAGTATTTATGATTTAATAGTTAGTAGAACACAAAATAATGGTCAATGCAGGAGTTTACCCATTTCACAAAGGGCAATTTTTTGTGCAATGCAATATGAAAGTTTTTAGCATATTTAAATTGATCTGTTTTTCCTAAAATTCCAGATCTTCAGTTTTTACCTCCCAAAACTTCAATTTTTTTTCTTGCAAAAATAAACTGAAACATTGTCTTATAGTTTATACAGAAGAAAAAAACATATCCTGAAAATTTTAACAAAATAAAAGATGTTAAATATTTAACCTTGCCTGACGCTTAAAATCCTGAGTCTTAACAAAAATATCTACTAAAGAGGTTTCAGAATTTGAAAAAAAAGATTGAAAAGAATTCAAAATAAGCTTTTTATATGAATAACTAAAGTTTCATGATGAATATTGCTCAAAGAAGGCTAATAATTCATCATACTTCATAAATATTTTTTTAAGAGCTAAGGATTATTGCTTCATTTATCATAACTTTCAGCAAATATTTTTCAGATTTTTCTATGCACCTGTTTTTTGGAACTTTATTGAGATAAATTAGCTCTCCTAGACTGTTAACCAAAGTAGCAACAAGATCTGAAAAGGAAATTTTTATCTTTCAAAATTAAAAATGAGTGATGTCATCACTACAGGAAACATATTCACTTTATAAAACTAATTAACATTCAAAAGCTGTTATGTAATAACTGAAATGTTATCAACACTTTTTTATACATAAACTATAACATTATTTTCTTAAACTTCGATATTACTTTGTTCTTAACTTGGCTTTTAATTTGTATTTTAGATGGTACTCAGTTTTCACCAGATGTCTCAAAGCAATTGAAACTTGATCTTTTGAGTAAAATCTGGCTCACTTATCGTATAAATTTTCCAGCAATTCCTGGAACTGAATTTGTGTCAGACTCTGGATGGGGTTGTATGTTAAGATGTGGTCAAATGATGATGGCGCAAGCTTTAATATGTCACTTTCTTCATCGAGGTATGTTTATAATTTTTAATGATTTTCTAAATCAAACTGCCGTAATACACCTTATAAAACTTTGTATTTTTGCTTTAAAATATATTATACTATGTATAATTGTAAAGTTTTTGTCTATTTCTAAAAATCTGAATTCTCTACAACAACATGAGTCCAGTGAACATAGTCCTCTTTAACTAACAATATTTAAGTGAGTTATGAAGGAACAATAATTTTTATACATGTAATAAAAAATTCTTAATTGAATAAAATTACCACTTTAAAAGGTAAGTTTCTTTTTTTTTNTTTTTTTTTTTTTTTTTTTTTTTTTTTTTTTTTTTTTTTTTTTTTTTGAAATCATTCATGAAAAAAAGTCAAAAACAGAAATGGCTTAGGTTCTAAAGACAAAAGCTCATATTTTAAGGCTGTGTCATCATGTAAAAAAACAATATTTAGCAAATAATTTGCTACTTTATAACTGATGTAAGTTTGTAACAGTTATTAAGTTTTGTGCATTATTAACACGTAGATTCTATTCTAGTTCTGGTACAAAATGTCAAGATGAAAAACCACAGTTTTGAGAAAATTAAAAGCATTTTTGATCTATGTTTTTTTTTTATTGTGGCTTTTTTATTTTAAATAAATTGTGGCTTTTTTTTATTTTCTTAGGATAAAGAACTTCCGAAAACACCCTTTGAGCAAAAAAATAGTTTTAGAGCATTTCAAAGAATATATTTATTTGTTTACGTAAAACTAGTTTATTATTTAACAAAAATGTGGAATATTGTAAGTTTCATCAACATATAAATACTTTTTTGGCCAGACTATAATCATAAATTATTGATTGAATATCTTGAAAATGTTCATATTTAATACACATAGATTGGAGAATAGCTTCAGATCAACCAGAAGAATCTAAGCAAGTCTATAAGATGATATTGCGCTGGTTTGGAGACTCACTCTCGGATAATAGTCCATTTTCTTTGCATCGTTTAGTCTCAATGGGAGAAAACTATGGTAGAAAGGCAGGAGACTGGTATGGACCAACACATGCAGCTCAAGTCCTTAGGTGAGCTTTTTCCTTTAGTTAAAATTTGTAATGCTACTTAAATAATTTATAACTTCTACTATGCTTCTTACAGCTTCCAAATTTTTTAGCTAAGTATAGTGAGCCATGCCCCTAATGAGTTTAGGGAGCTATTTTCCTAATTTTCTTTGTCAATCTCTCTTTTCTTTAATTCTTTTGTATCTTTATTATTTTATATATATGTATGTATGTGTATGCAGCAGATGCATAAATTTTCAAAATCATTATTTTTTTCTTTTGTTAATTAATAAATTTTCTGAGTCACACATAATTAGTGACATAATTACTCACACTTAATTGTTTTTCTGGTTTTTAGAGATGCTCTTCATTTATGTCGAAAATATTATCCACAACTAAAAGATGTTTGTATGCATGTTGCTTTAGATGGAATTGGTAAGTTTACTAAAAATATAATATTATTTCCTCTTTTTTATAATTTTCAAATTGTTATTTTATAAATAGAAAAATTATCAGGAAAACAAAAATGAAGTATTTTTGTTTCATAAGAAATTTAAAAGAAGTGAGTATTGCCTAGAGCAGGTTTTTAAATTATATTGGGTACTGTTATGCTAACTCTATGGGAACAATTTTTTATTTCTTTGCTGTAAATGCTGGAATACTAAAATCGTTCAGTTAGGAATTTTATCACTAAATTTTAAAAGTACTACCATTTGTATCTGTACAAAATTTGTTTATAACAATAGCTGGCTGAGACAGGTTAAAGGTTTGCTTCATTTTGAAGAATAATAATTTTAAAAATAAACATAGTATTCTTAAAATAATCGCTTAATTAACAATGTTTTTAATAAATATATAAATTAAATTTACAGACCATAATAGTGTGTGCTGATTTATAATTAATATTTAATTAATATGTATTATTAGTTATCTTATTAATATTTAATAATTCTTAAATGTACCAAATATATAATTTCTGTAATTTAGAAAGGAACTGAGTTTTAATCTTCCATTATATAAAACATAATTTTAGATGAAGAATATTTAGTATAGATATAAATAGCATATTTTCTAAATGCTTTGATTATGATCTTCCTAAAATGTGCTAAGTACAATTGTTTCCAACTTATTTTGATCTTTTATCACAATTGTTCAAACCTCATTTCTGCTTCAAAAACACAAACATAGATGTACAGTGCGTAAAAAAACAGACCATTCTGAATAGCTTATATCTTTTGATCAAAGGATCGGATCTTTACAGTCTGGGACTTAATCTTAATGGTTCGAGGGGTTGACATCAAATAACTAATTAGTGCAAAAGATATTTTAGATTACAAAATCAGACATAAAAGGTACTTTCTCTTAAAAACATACCTTTTTTTCAACAAATTCGGATTACTGACCCCTAAAACATAGAGCGTAGCAATCTGGGAAATATAGACTCAATAGTTTAGTCAAGAGAGCAATCCAAAGTTTTGGCCCCTTAATGTTCATTTTATTTTTCACATATTTCTCCATATCTTTGGAACGATTTAAGAAAATTGAAAATTTTTTGCACATAATTATAAAATTCGTTTATTGAAAGATAATTCCATTAAAAAAGTAACTTTCAGTAAACATTTATTATTTTATTTATTAATAGTCCTAAATAATGTGAATTTTTAAGTATACCATTTTTTACAATATGGCAAAATACAAAATTTGAAGAGCGAAATGCAACATTTGAGCAATTGGTCAAATAGTTCCCAAGAAATCGAATTTTTTAAAAATTTGCGTTATTCCAGTTATTAGAATTCAGAATCATTAGAATCAGTGTCTTTCAGAACATCATCTGTGTTGGACTCAATAACATCAGTAGTGTTGTCATATATGAATCCCACTATGCAATGGATTCTACATCCTCCTCCTTTGCTGTGTCCCACTAAAAATCTTCACTCCCATCCAATGAATTCCAAATTTTTCATCTCATCTAGTATCATTTGACGCATCTTGTCTATAAGAGCAGTGTGAAAATTTCCTGTTTTTATAAGTATTTCTGGTATGAAATATTTTTAACTTAAGGTAATTTTGTTGACTATATAATTTTTTAAATTTTAGAAATGTCCATGTTTGGTTTTATTTGACGATCAACTAATGCACCCAACATACCAGAAATTTGCTATCTCATAATCAAAAGTAGGGGGTTGACTTATTTATTAGGATTTATGATAACAGATAATAATTAAGTTATAATTTTATTCATTGATTGTTCCATGATTCATAATTGCAAAATTGGGACAGATCTTGCACTTTTATAACAATGAATTTTAACTTAATAAAATTCTCTATCATCCATAGTTAACCTCGAATAACTTGTAAAACTAATTAATATTTATAAAAAGCACTAAACAAAGCAATAAAAAGTTTTATAAAAACAATTGTTTTAGTGAAAATGATTTAATAGTTTCTGTATTTCTCTTTTTTTCAGTTTTTAAACAAGATATTGAAGATTTATGCCGAAAACCATCTAAATGCAAACTTCAAAATGGTACAACAGAGGAAAATGAAGTTTTGGCAACTAGCAAAATTCTTCCTCAGACCTCCGAAATGCAAAATGCTTCAGAGGTCAATATGATTTTAACTGAAACAAATAACTTGGATTTTAAATCTGTGAAAGATAGTATAGAATTTGATGATGCATGCCCATCATACTCCGAATTTGGTCCACCTAGTTTTAATACAGCTCAAGGATACTGGAAGAGCTTGATTTTATTTGTTTCAGTTCGATTAGGAAACGATAAAATAAATCCATTTTATATACCTTGTCTGAAAAATCTATTGACTTACGAACAATGTATTGGGATTATTGGAGGCCGGCCTAAACATGCACTTTACTTCATTGGCTGGCAAGGTAACAATTCTCTACAATATATTAATTTTTTAAAACTAAAATTATGTGTTTTATCTGTCTGAATGATGAGTAATATTTAAAATTTTTTTTAAAAATAAGTTTTAAGTGTTTGATGCTTTCAATGAAAAAAAGTCATTTTAAGATGCAATTATAAATATTTTATAGAATTTGTATTGATGTTTTTACTTCAGCACTCATCCTTTGCAACCAGACTCAATTGTCAGAGGAGGGAATTTATTAGTGTAATTTTTATAATCTTACCTATGATGATGGATATTTTTTTTTATTTAGTAGTATGTTTTGAAACATGTTAAATACAAAGTTGTCTTCCAATCAGAATGAATGTTACATAGAGGGCATAATCTAAAATTTCAACTGACTTTTTTTTATAACAAAGCTACATTAATTGAAATATGCAATCAGAATTTTCAGGAAAGTAATTTAGCTTTACACCTTTCTGTTATGAAACTTTTGAAAATTATCTTTTTTGTGCAATTTATCTTTAAAAAAATTTTCCGCATTGTATAAATCAGTTTTATAAAAATTTAATGAACTAATTTTAAAAAATATCTAAAAGCAGATAACGGTACAGAATTAAATTATCATTTCAAAATTGCTAATTAAAGAAATTTTTTTGTTTATTGATGCACCATTTTCAAACATTTGTTCAGAATGATAAATAAAATATTTAAAAATCGAATAAAAGGGGAGAGGAAAAGGTTCAACTTTATTCAGTCAACATTTTATTTCAACTTCATCTATACTTATAATAGAACAGTTCTTATGGGGTTAAAATAGCAAATAAATTTCCTTAAGTTAAATTTTTTTCCTTTCTCCTTTTATATGTTTATATTAATGACATGTTGTTTTTGTTTAGATGTACTTAGATTTTTTTTTTAAGTTGTAATTTTTATATTTATGTATTATATTTAAGAAATTGCAATATAGTAAAAAAATATAGTATATTTTAAGTTGAAACAAATATATTTCAATAAATAATTTTCATTAATAATTGTAAATTGAATATATTGGGACCGACAATAAATTACGAAAGAAAACAAGTATTTTTGATCATCCTATGCCAGAAATCAAGCAATAAGCTTGTAACTTATACTGATTACTTTGGTTGTTATTTACAATAACTGCATAAAATTTCATAAACCTAGCTTAAATATTATGGAAATATGGACATTTTTATAAAAAAAATTATTATTTTTGTCTTAATTTTTTTTTTCTCAACTTTAAAAATGTTCCTTAAAATTAAACAAAGTTTTTTGAGCAATTAAAAAACAATTATTAAATTATTGTTTCAGAACTTGAAAGAAAAGTCGTTAAAAATTGCACGAGATATGACTATTTAAAGTAGATATTTTATGCTGCATATGTGCGAAAACAATTTAAAAAATCTTTTTTTTATAATTTTTTAGTGAATCATAATTATCAACTAATGGAAAAGGTCTGATTTGAATATTTTAAAAATTTAAAGAGTTTCAAGCAATTTTGTAATTTTTTTACTTTTTAAAAAAAATTTCAAGATAAAAAGGGGTTTATCCAAATTTCATTTTGTTCTATTAAACAAGTTTTATTAATAATAACACTGGCATTGTGGGCTATCATCCTCCATAAAAAAATTTCCTTTTGCACATTTTCTTTCCTTATACCATCACAGTTTGGTGTCCAAACAATTACTGTAAAGTATTATCATTAGTTATTAAATTTTATCTTATAATAAAATTTCTGGGAAACCCCTTATCATTTTAAACTTCTTTAAAAGAAGTACAAAAACTACTTAGATAATTGCTTGAAACTAACTAAATTTTAAAGACATTCAAATCAGACTTTTTTCATTAGTTTCAAAATACAATTCACTACAAATTTATTAAACATGCACTGTATAAAAGGACTACTTTAAACTGTCATATCTTACACAGTTTTTAATGAACATTTTTTTAAAAATTAAAACAATAATTTTTTAATTACTTTAAAAATTTTCTTTAATTTTATTAAATATTTTTAAAGCTATAGCAAAAATATGTAAGACAAAAAAAAATAATTTTTTATGAAAATGTTCATATCTCCATAAAATATTTAAGTTAGGTTTATAAAATTTTATGCAGCTAATTCAAGTAACAATCAAAGTAATCTGCAGGTTACAAGCATATTAATTTATTGTCGGTCCCTGAAACCTATAAAAGCCTAAAACTTAATTGCTAAGTATAAAATATTGCATGAACTAATTGAAAGAAATTGCCTCTAAAGTTACAAAAAAGAAAAAGGCTCTAAAGTTACTAAATAATCTTCTAAGTATTTCTTGAGAAATTTAAAAAATGTTAAAAACTTATAGTGTCTCTTTCATTATTATAGGGTAGTGTATGTTATATGAAATTTTAGAAATAAATAATGTTTCAGATTAAAATTCTTGTTCATTTACAAGAATAATATTTTTATTTTAAAGGAATTTTTTGTTATTTTAAAGGGCATTTTTATTATTTTTAAGTTCATTTATTGCCATTTTTAAGGATTTTTCTGAACAAACTTAAGAAAAAGACTACACTGGGCATTATCCAAATGTCAGCCAAATATAATTTTTTTTCACATCAGAATAACATCGCCCTTCTCATTAAATTTGCACTTAACAAAACCAAGCAAATTTTTTAACAAATATAATATAATTAAAATAAAAAATATGACAAATTGTGAATTTGTAATAAATGCGTTAAATTCATTTTAATTTTTTTTCAAGTCTGTTTTTGCTGCTTACAGTGGGTGATAGTCAAAAATTAAGAATCTTTAAACTATGAAATCTAATATCCTGTAGACTGAAATGTCTGATTGACTTTAGATCGACTTACCTACTTTGCCATTCAATTTGCTTTATAGTGTATACCTGCTGGATAAAATTAAATGTACCAAGTAGAACTTTCAATTTCAAAGCAGCTATGCTGCTGCAAAGTGAGAATATCTGATCTAAACAATATGTTTTTGAATGAAAATACTAGTCTAGTATATAAGAATTGAATTTATTAAGCAGAATACTTAGATGTAAATTGCAATTTCAAGTTTTAACACATTATTTATAGTGCAGTTTGGAAGCTTTTTACTTTTTGCAGAAATTCATCATATCATGTTTGCATATTTCAAATATGTTTTATTTCAGTTTCATTTGAAAATATGTTAATACTTTAACACTATGGATAATAAACTTTGTGAGGTGATTTTTATATAAAAAATTAAACGATATTAATTATCTCAAATATATATATGTGTGTGTGTGTATGTTTGTATTTGAGAGGGGGAGAGTGAAATCAATATTCTAATATTTAAGAGCAATAAAGAAAATGTAATTAGCAGGCTATTCTGACTTAACTTAAATTTTTAAATTTTCAAAAAAAATGTTTTCATGAAAATGTCAAATCTACCTACCTACTTTTATTTTAAAGGAACTACTACTACAAAAGCTACCTAATTTTACAGTAAATTTAATTCATGTTTCAATTTCAAATATGTGCCAGTAATCTTGGGCAACGTTAAAATTTTGACATTGCGATGTATCATCACTCTAGCATCGCGATACTTCAATACATTACTATGTTCTGTTACATTAATGTTTTACATTTGGTATTGCATAATTTTGAATTCTTTAACTGTTTGATTGATAATTGAGATAATTATATTCTTGTTATAAACTCAGTCCTCTGTTACTTAACAAAAAAAGTGTCAGAAATTTGTCTAGTTATCAACAATAAGTAATATTTTTTTTAATAAATAAATCACATCAGTGATGTAACAACACATTGAAATTAAAAAAAAAGGGTAGAACAACCTGTGCAGGAAAGGGACGTGTGGCAAAAATTTGCCTGCTGCAGACTATGTTTTTAAATAGGTAAGTAATTATAAATATAAAATTAAAATACACATTGAGCTAGCCTTTATAAAAATCTTTATTAACAGAAAAATAAAAACTTTGCTGGTGGATTGAGAATGCTTGAAAACTTAAGAACAGCTGTCACCAAAAGGCACGTGTATCTTCCGAGTCATCTGTTTACCCCCTTGTAAATTTAGTACATTGCTATCAATATTTATTTTTTAAAAAAAGAATCTATTAAAAAGTCAAACGAATCATTGAATGAAAAAAAATAATTAAAAATTCGCATGTTGGTAAGTTCCAATTGTTTTTTATAAACATTGCATTTTTTTATATTTCCTAACTATGATTATTATTTCTCAATAATTTAAGACTAAAATGTATGAAAAATTGTGCTTAAAAATGATAAATAACTGGATTGATTGTTAAAAAATCAACATCAGAGAATTTGCACAAATAAAAGAAAGCATGTTTCAAAAACTAAGAGATTCGTGTTAGAAAAACATATATCTCTGCTTAATGAGTTACAATGGAAGAAGCATGAGGAAAGATAATGGTAATCACCACAGCAATCACTGATCTAAGATCAGAGTAAAATGCTCTTAGCGCGAGATTGAGGTCATTGATGTCTGATTGGGAGAATTACTCGACATGTGCTTGAAACCATCAATGCACTTTCAGGAACAATGCTCTTCATTGTGCACATAGATATCAATGTCTATGATGCATCAGGAAATATACACATCACAGTACAATCGCAATTTGCAATGCTTTGTAAAAAAATCAAATCTAGACATCAGATCGCCGATTATTACTTAACATTGATATTTACTGATGTATCGCCCTGTCCTGATCCCTAATCATAACTTCAATTTATTAGACATAGTTTATAGCACTGTGATATTGCTATTTTGAGTACATTGCATAATGTTTAAATGTAGAGCAATGTAGCCAATTATAACTCTTATACCATCAAACTGTCTTCTTAATCTGTTTTTAATACACTATCAAACTAGCTTTACAACTGCATTTTATTTTATTACTTTAAATATGTAACATTAATTTTGCCTGGCACAGTATACGTATTCTCAGCTCTCTCTACATTCAATCAACGAAGAATAGCAACATAAAAAAAGAGCTGGGAAAGATGAGTTGTATGTTTTGTTGAGATTTTAAGATTCAGATGTATTCTTTCTTTTTTTCTCTCCATGTAGATGACAAATTAATTCATCTCGACCCACATGCATGTCAACCTGTTGTAGATATGGAAAAAGAAGATTTTAATGAAAAGGTTTTTTTTTTTCTTGTTTGTTAAATTTGTATTATTTAAATATTGAGGTTTATATTGTAATGAAAAGTTTTGAATAAATTTTTTGAAGATTTACAGGTAATGTAAAATTTAAAACTGAATTCTTTAAAATTGGATATCAAACACTTTATTACCAAATTTATAAAAATCTAAGTAATAGAATATTTTTTACAAATATTTTTCCTAAACTGAAATTTCACACATAAATACAATTAGAAGAAGGAAACGTACAGCAAGCAAAAAAATGCATCTTGACAAATTTTTTATCAAATCAATGGATATTCATATAAACTTTATAATTTGAGGCATCCACTTAAAATGCACTTATTGGTTGGGGCAAAAGATAACTTCACTTAGTCAGATACAAAAACATATTCTTTGAATAAGCATTTTTTTTTGTTGACAAATTTTGATTATTGACTATTAAGATATGAACCCATTATTGTCAGAAGACTTATTTACTCTAAATCAGAAACTCTTTGCATCAATTAATAAAACAAACTTTTACAAAGATAGATTTATGCAAAAATTTTAATAATTATCTAACATTTAAATGCATTCAAGTTTTTAAGGTATAAAATTTTGAATAAAAATCTTATTTTTGCTTTTAAAATCATGTTGTTTAAGATATAAATATTTTATCCTTACAGTTCAAAGTTTTACATAAATATCTAATTATTAGTGCAGAAATATCTGATCATTAGATAAAAGTTATTGATAGTGTAATGTTTTTTATTTTTATTTTGCACCCTATACAATTGAAGTGTCAGATTCAGATTCTTCTATTTCAGTCATTTCATTCATCATCAATTAGAATGATCTCTTTCACTGAGATGGATCCAAGTTGTGCTATTGGCTTTTATTTCAAAAGAGAAGAAGAATATCAATATTTTGTCGAAAAGTTTCCAGAAGTATGTGTCTTTAATTTTTCTATTTATTGCAAATATGATTACTTACATATACAGTCAAACCCCGCTATTGTGAACACGGTTTATAGTGAACTCCCGGATATAGTGAACGAAAAGTTTGGTCCCGTGCACTGCTATACACGTATAATGTTATTTTTTGTGGATATAGTGAACCAAAAACAGTGAGGAAGTTGGATATAATGAACTTTTTCCTGTCTTCGACTGATTTTTTTCTTCGTTTTCTTTTTTGTAATAATTTTGAAATTTCTTGTTTAAAATAAATGCATATACCGATTTTTAAACCCATCTATAGAGGGGAATGTAGCGATAAGCATTTCTTGTTGTTTGCTTCTTTTGTCTCACTTTCCCATCCCTAAACAAGCCAAGCAGATGTTTCCAACCCACGCAGATGATGCACCTGTTAGGTGTCAGTGGGATCAATATGTATTTTCTGTCAGAGGGAATGAGTAATTATTCATTATTGGTCAAAGGGTTGGACACTAATATGTGTTGATAAGGCCCTCATTTCAACTCCTTTTAGCTCTCTGCTTAGTTAAAAAAAAAATATATAAGAAACCTGCAAGCAAGTGTCTCAAATTTAACTATGGTTAGCATTCGAAAAAGCCGCAATCTTCTAGTATCTGAACAAATGTCGATGAATTTGCTAAGCGATTTAATGAGACTACTTTCATATGCTCGAATGGCAGGTTAGACAGGTTTAAAAAGCGGAATAATAGAAATTCAGGAAAAATTATCTGATAGTCGGGAAGTCTTTCCATATCTGATGTTGAGGATTGCTGATCAGCTAAAAATNTGTAGCGATAAGCATTTCTTGTTGTTTGCTTCTTTTGTCTCACTTTCCCATCCCTAAACAAGCCAAGCAGATGTTTCCAACCCACACAGATGATGCACCTGTAAGGTGTCAGTGGGATCAATATGTATTTTCTGTCAGAGGGAATGAGTAATTATTCATTATTGGTCAAAGTGTTGGACACTAATATGTGTTGATAAGGCCCTCATTTCAACTCTTTTTAGCTCTCTGCTTAGTTATAAAAAATAAAAAGAGCAACCTGCAAGCAAGTGTCACAAATTTAACTATGGCGAGCAGTAAACGTTCTCCATTGATGATAAAATGGGCAGAATCAGAAAAATAGAAAATGGATGCAATCTAGCTGATATTTGCAGGGAATAAAAACTATCCAAATCTGCAGTTTGTAACACATGGAAAGAATTTAGATGGCTGAAAAAAGTTGAGAAAAGCAGATCGCAAGGATGCTCAAGAAGCATTACTGACGTGGTTAGCATTCGAAAAAGCCGCAATCTTCTAGTATCTGCACAAATGTCGATGAATTTGCTAAGCGATTTAATGAGACTACTTTCATATGCTCTCGAATGGCAGGTTAGACAGGTTTAAAAAGCGGAATAACAGAAATTCAGGAAAAATTATCTGAGAGTCGGGAAATGTTTCCATATCTGATGTTGAGAATCGCTCATCAGCTAAAGATTACAAATTTTTTTTTAATCTTTAGCTGAAGAAGAAGAGTAATAAAAAATAGCACATTTTTTGCTACTACATAATATTTTTCATTCATTTAATTGAATAATGTGTAATAAAAGGGAGGAGTTTGGGAACCATTAGTTAAATTGCCTGCGTAACGGATATAGTGAACTCCCGGTTATAGTGAACTGAAATTTCGGTCCCTTGAAGGTTCACTATAGCGGGGTTTGACTGTAATAACTCTTTTTTATAAGATTAACTATAGGTGCAGAATCCATTAAGTATGTCAATATTTATGTTGATTCTAAATACATTTATATCTTCAAAGTATGTTTTGACTTATTTCAAAATGATTGAACTTATTTCAAATTATGCATTCATTCCAAAAGGTGTGTTTTCATTTTTATTTAGCTTATATTTTAATGAAATATGATGTGATAAGGCTATAAATTTTTAATAGAGTAGGACAATATGGCATCCTCTATAAGTGGGGATTTTGTTATTAATTTCGATTTATAGTGAAAGAATTGATAAAGTAATGCAATATGTTTCTTCCTCCCTTTATATATTTGACTGAAATAAAATCCAATCAAGAAAGTAAAATGCCAAATTTTTGACTTAGACATTTAGAATTGCTCAATTTAGTTTTAATCACTTTTCAATGTGCTTGATTTGTACCGATTTTCTTGTAAATCCATGTGGTATTTCAATAGTTTTTAAAATCTATATTTTTTTTAATAGGATATTATTACGATACATGCAACTTAAATCGTTTATTTGTGCAATTATTTTTTTATGTGCTTGATTCATACCAATTCCATCAAGGTGTTTCAATCTTTTTTTTCCTTTTTGACAATTATTGCTACCAATTTTTACTTGGATTTTAAAACCTGATATATTTTTATGTGTTGCGACACATGAAATTCGAATCTTGCTTTGGGTAGTCATATTTTATATGCTAGATTGTATATCGTAAATCTATGTGATGTTTTGATTATTTTTCTGCAGTTTTTGCCTTTTATTTGCATACAGTTTTTAAAATTACCAATATATTTCATATTGCAACATGTGAAATTCAAACTGCACATTTGACTAATTACTTTTTATTGTGGTGCTTTATTTATTTTTTTTCCATCTGTTTTTTGACATTTATTGCAACTGATCTTTTCATTTCAGATGATTTTAAAAGTTTCAATACTTTTAATGTTATTTATTTTAGCACGGGATTCTCAAATCACGCCTTCGAGTAATAATTTTTTAACACTTCCCATTTTCATGATTTCTTTGTAAATTTTGTCACCAATCTCTTTTTTTTAACCAGCTGTTATTACCACCTATTTTGCGATTTTTAAAATCCTTTTTTTTAAAGCTATCAAGACTTGAAAAAAACTGTATGTGTTGATGAGAAAAAGATTTATCAGATACATAAGTTTTTCTTTCCCCCTTTGAATTTTATTAATGTTATTTTTTGCATAAAAATGATAGTCTATTATTTAAAAAATTTTATCAAATTAATTTGAAATAATGTTCTTTGTATGAAAAAAGTTAAGTATTAAAAAAATTGATTAATTTGAAAGTGAAACTATCTAACCACAAAGCTTCTTAACATTTTCATATAATTTCTTGTTCCAGCAGTAACATGTTTGTAGTTTACTTGATGACTCTATTAGATGGTTTAGATAAATTTGATTTAGATTTAAGTTGTAGTGGGATTAGGTGTTACTACATTTTTGAATTTTTAAAATAAAATACTATTACTGATAAAAAATTGACCATTGAATAACAAAAACTTTAAAGAAATCATTTAAACAATTTTTCTTTCAATGTCATGCCAAATAACATATGAAACATCTCTAATTTATTTTTAATAGAGTGACCAAGCCCTCTAATTTTCTCCCCTTGAATTTTTTCTTATTATGGCTTGTCATGAACTGTCCTTTAAAAGTTAATGAAATGTAAATTTGCATCATTAGTAATCAAAAGAATATATTGTAATGTTGTACAAAAATCAGTATAATGTGTGCAAATTAATAAATTTTAGGTTTCCTGATCTTAGTAAGACTTATTTTTATTCTGTATTTATTTTATCTTGACTTTAAACATGTGGTATTCACATTCTTCTATTCTTATCAGTTTGCTGGATAGATGTACCTAGTTTAATGAAAATCATTGCTCACACCATATGTTTAACATGCATGCATTAACAAATATTTTGTCAATTTCTTGATTTTTTTTTTTTTTTTTTGAAAGCATAGCATGGTTTTAACATAATTTGTTTATCATTTATTAGTTATGAATAAATGTCATTTTTGTACTCTTATGATATAACCATTTCACGTTTTAACATTAGTTTTAAATGAATGTTATATTGAGTTGTCAATTGTTCTTTTTTTTTTTAAACAGTTTTTATAAGGGCAGTACTTGCCATATTTTAACACTATTGATTACTGTTAAGAACTTGAAAATAAAAAAATTTTAACAGTTACAATAAAAACAGAAATGACTCAAACTTATGTATAAGAGAGTAAATAAGTAGAATAAATCTCTATATTAAAAAATGTTATTACCATTTCAGAAAGTTTTTCCTCAACGTGTGTCTCTTTCATAAAATGCAAAAAATTTGGATAAAGAAAAAAGATAAAATAACACAAATTTACAGAAAGAATTTAAGAACATTCTAATATAAAAAGGAAGTTGTGTAATTTTATTCAACTAAAACTATACTTTTTTGCAACCACATACTTTGTCTTAAGATGAAATATGTGTATCACTTAGTTTAAATTCTTAATAGTTTTAGAGTGATTAAATTGTAAAATTTTCATTTTATATGAAAAAATATCTATCTACTCCAATATCTTTACTTTATTGGAAATCCAATTGGGGGTTAAATAGATAAAAAAGAGGAAACCATGAAATCTGAAAAAATAGTGCAAGCAATAGCGATTGTGTGTAGCAGGCATAGCCTATAATATATTTGAAATAAAGTATAAAAGCTGAGGTATTAAAAAGGAAACGAAGGAAATAAAAATATAACCAACAAAGCCGACGTCTTCAGGGAGTATTGGTCTCGGTAGCCATAAAAACAAAACCATCTCTAATTGAGGGAGAAGCAAATGCCTAAATTAACTCCCTCAGTACCCCGATGGTTTTGCATAGAAAAAACATGAAATACAAATAACAAATTAAGAAAAGAAACTCAAGCAAAATCATCAGAAAAATAAAAACTCACTTATTCACAGGTCTAGGTTTTTATATTTTTTTTCTTTTAACAGGGCGAAATTCAAGTCTTAACTGAGCAGCCCCAGTTAAGCATTCTATTTATTTGTTACGTATTTCTTTCTCTTGACTTCTTTCATTTTATTCTCCATCTGCGCAGAGTAATAGAGGGCGTTGTTTTCTTTAGTTTTTAATGTTTTCTTTTCATTCGGCTTGCTTATGAAATCGATGTTTGACCTGTGAATAAGTGAGTTTTTATTTTTCTGATGATTTTGTTTGAGTTTCTTTTCTTAATTTGTTATTTGTATTTCATGTTTTTTCCTGGACTTCTATACAAAACCATCGGGGTACTGAGGGAGTTAATTTAGGCATTTGCTTCTCCCTCGATTAGAAATGGTTTTGTTTTTATGGCTACAGAGGCCGGTACCCCCTGAAGATATCGGCTTCGGTGGTCATATTTTTATTTCCTTCGTTGATACTTTTTTCTGAAATTTCTGCTGCTATTTAGCGCGTTTTTTTCAAAGAAGTTTTATCTATTTTGAATTAAAAATATTTGTGTTTTCTTTTAGTTTTAAAAAGGATTAAGGCTAAAAGTATAAGGATCTAAGATTGCAAATCAATCTGGAAGGAATCACATAAGTAGTTCCCAACTAGTATAGACAAATGTTTATAGTGTGTTATTAATTAATGGGATTTTTCATTCACTCCAGGCTATTTAATGTTAGATTGTGTTATCATTGTAAATTATTAATGTTTCATGGTGGATTAATTTTTTAGATAACAGCCCCTTTAAAAAGAAACTTGGACTATCCTGTATTTGCATTAGTTGAGGGAAGACGAGCAGATGTTGAAGAAGTAGATTCTTTCAATGCTTATTCGCGTTCCAACTTTTCTAATGTACACAATTCGTCTTGTGATGAAGACTATATATTATTGTGAATAATTTATTTAAAATTAGATATATTTGTATATTTTCAAATAAAAATATTTGAGCTTTTTTTAATTGGCGAGTTTGTTATAATTGACTAAACTAAATTATCAATGATTTTACCTGTGAATCAAACAAAATTGATATAAGGGTTGCCCAAATGAAAAAATAGGCATGTATACAGTAAAGATAGCAGCGCCACCCACTCACAGTTAAAACAGGAGTGCAAAGCAGATTTGGTATAATTGATTAACCAATTTGCATGAGAGCATTTAAAGTCTCGTTACAAGTGGATGAATCTTGAGCAGAACAATGTTCAGTTGTACTTTTTTTTTTTCTTTTTTTGCAGAAAGTGATTATCTACACTCTCCCTTTTTTTCAAATAGAGTTCAGCACAGAGATTATGAAGCATAACCCTTTGTTTACATCGAACTATTTCATCAACTTAACAATAGTTTTATTACTGACCATGGTATTTGCAGCTCAGATATTGATGTACGTCCCCACAAAAATTTTAAACCATTTGTTTACAGCTGTGTCCTAGAACAGGCTGACCACTAACAGCTATTATTTTAATAATATCTACATTATGCTCACTTTCTAGCACTACTGTACAACTTTACATTCACTGTGATGGCATACAAACTGATTAATCAATTAAATGCAATCCGTTGACAAGCTCCTTTAATTTGTTTTACAACTGAATAGTGGTACTGCTATTATGCTCTATTTCTGGTATCACAAATATTGTCTTTTCATTTGGGTGTCTCAGCTTGTATTATTTTATATAAATTATTCAGGAAAAGAGGTTGCCCAGCTTGCAAGTGGCTAAACAATATAGAATAAGATCTTGGCATGTTAGGTGTCAGAAATTGTAGAACAGTGGCATTGGAAAGACTATGCAGGTGGAAGCTGACTGGGATAACCTTGTCTAGGCTGTTGTGTTTTTAAGAATATTAGCTATTATCTACAGGCTTACATAAATATTCATTTTACAGGGATGAGAGTAGTCAGAAAGTAAAAAAAAGGAAATCCAAGAATGATGGTGAAGAATATATATATACAAAAATTGGACAAAGAAGTGCGATTTCTAAACTTGTAGACCATGTGATTATAAATCCTGATGATTAATTTTAAAATTTTATGAATATGAATCCCGATATGAGGCTTTTAAATAACGTGAATATGAAACTCTATATCGAATTTAAAAAGTGCGACAATACAAATCGTGATGCATAAATTTTAGACCACGTACATACGAATCACGATGCATAATTTTTAAATCGCACGAATACGACTCCCAATGTCTAATTTTTATAGCACGTATAAATACGAAAATCGATGTTTGATATTACAACCTAAAAAACAAATCACGACATTAGATTTTAAGCTCCCATGAATACAAGTCTTTACATAGGGTTTTAAAAGCACATAAATAAAAATCGCGATATTGGATTTCTAAATCTCGTAAATAAGAATAGCAATGTACGATATTTTAATCGCCTGAATAAGAATCACAACGTTCCACTTTCAAATCAGGTAAATATGAAAATCGATGTTTGATAATAAAATCGCGATTTTAAAAATGCATAAATACAAAATGCCATATTGGATTTTTAAATCTCGTCAATAAGAATCGTAAAGTACAATATTTAAATAGCGTAAATAAGAATCACAATGCGCAACTTTTGAATCAGGTAAATACGAAAATCGATGATTGATATTAAAATCGCGTGGAAAAGAATCGAGATATTTGCAAAGTCTGGACTTGGGATTTCTAAAAGGCTTATTTGTATTGTTTTTATTTAGACATAATAAATAAAAATGTACAAGATTAATTGAATGAGCAAATAAATATCTTCACTGCAAATCCACTTCTACTTTTTTGTTTGCTTTCACTCCAGAAAATAGGAAGCAGCGACGTCTGAATTACGAAAATACGAGTTATCCGGCGAACGGATAAAAATACGGAAAATTTTATTTTCAGTGTAAAAGCGGAGAAAATAAGTAAAAATGCAGAAGGGTTAGCAGCTAGGATGCAGTATTGAATTTTCTGTTCATCTTTGAAAATCGTAAATAAATATAATTATTTTATTTTAACGACTGAACTTTAAAAAAAAAAAAAATCCGAAACTCTTAGAGAATCAAGAGTTTTTGATAAAAAGGCTGAAATTCGAGAGGCAAAAGCGGAAAAATCTCATTCCTGTGTAAAGGTCAACCAGTTTTATCTCAAGGAAATGATTTTTAGAAAAACTTCAGAGGGAGGATTGAAGACTTCAATACTTTCGCTTCACGGAAAATATTTTAAAAAATAAAATATTTTAATTTGTTCAAAATTTTTTTTTGCTGAAATTAGCGGGAAAAATCTGAAAAAAAAGTTGAAATCCGCAGAAGAATCACATCCCTGATTTTATATTACAATATTTTATGTAAGGCCAATTTTTTTACATGAATCCATTCTTTTTCATTTAACAGTATTAATATTATTATTAAACAGGGAAGTAAATTTATTTATGGTAGTTAGTATTTTGAAAATATGCATGGCCACTTAGATGTAGTAATCAATGTGTCTAACTGTAAAATTGTCACATTCAACCTCCAGCCTGGACAGCTGGTTGTAAACAACTCAGTTGTTCATTCCTGTTAGATCCATAAAAAATAAGTTAACTAGGATTCGAATCTTAAGCTAATCCTACACCAGAAATAGGCTCTACAGGCCAAAAGGCTACGAAAAAAATGGAATGCCCTGGGAACCACTTAAAAAAATATTCTAAAATCAAAAACATGAACTACCTTAACATACAATGTTAAATTAGATTAGCTCATTAATAAGAAGTTGGTTAAAACATTTATATTTACATATTTTTGAAATATTCAAAAAGAAAAATTTCTTCTTCTAAAAAAAACTTAATTTTAGAAAAAATATTAAATACATGTCTATTATTTTAGACAGAGAATTATAAAAAATACATAAAATTTTTGTCCCATAGATTTTTGCTTCATACATTAAAACTCAAAATTACCTTTATTTTAAAGACAGGTGAGTTACTTACTGAAATAAGAACAATGTAGGAAACTTTTAAAATAATTAAGCAACATTGCTGGAGTTAAAAATCAATGATTTGATACTACAAACCAGGGTTTGTTGATTTAAATCAGCTTGATTTAAATCAAATGATTTTTTTAAAAAAAATCATTGATTTAAATCAAAAAAAAAATTTTAGCTATATATATTGCTTTTAAAAGTCAAAAAGCAGTGTTTTAAATTTTTGATACTTTTATTATTTTCTTTTCTTAGTATTAAAATTTAATTTAAATAAATTGCTGCATTAATTAATTTTAGTTAATGAAATTACTTTTTTGGTGTGTGTTCAATTCCAACACATTTGAAATTACATTTTTAAAAATGTTTTGATTCTTGAGATTGAAAGTACAGATTAAAGTAAACATTTAATGCTGTCTTAATATAGACTTGCATAGCTGTAGAAAGTAATTAATAAACATGAATATTTTTCAAAAAATAATACAAATAATGTTAATTAAAATTCTACCTTTTGAATGAAAAAGCGTGAATTAAAATCTACATCATATTTTATTGGTGGAAAATGTGTATTTCTGAAGCTTGAGGTTATGTTAAAAAGAAATTACCCTAATATGCCAAAAACAGAAAAAGAAAAAAAGAGGGCTGATGAATTCAGATGTATTTTTCCAAATATAGTGTCATTCTTCCCTTTCAAACTCTTTCAAAGTCTATTTGATGCAGTAGGGTTATTAACTGGTATTTTTTTCTCATAATTTGTTTACAGTATCTTTGACATTATCAGATTTTCTGTAAAGAAATTTTGTGAAAAAAAATTCCAATGAGTAGATAGATTTTCTAACTTTTTTTTTTAGCTTAACTTATCTATTTTGATATAGAATTAAAAATGAATATTTTAATATAAAAATATATAGATTAAATATTTATTTATTATTTGATGAATGACTACATTTATAAACACAGTCTGCTACATTTATTTTGTCATTTTAAAAATCAAGAGGAAAAAAAAGAAATCACAATTTTAAATTAAAGTTATGGTTTGCTAACTGAAACTTTGTTTTAATAGTTAAAGTGCACGGGTCTGTCCAAGCCAAATTTACTACCGTTTAACGGTACCTTTACAAATTCAACTTTAGGAAAAAATTTGTGTTGATTTTTTAATATAATTTTTAATTTTCGCAACATAGGTAACTCTCAGAAAAATCCAGACAGACCCCTGAAGTATTCTTTAAATTCTCTATTTAATCTAGTCTTTAAATTTTAATCATGCATTTCTTTCAAAGCCATGTATTATAATGAAAAATTATTTTAGTTAGAGCTTCTAAAATATTGTTACAACATAGTTTTAATATTAAGTTAATTTGATTAAACATTTATAATTTTTTTTAATCATGAATTAAAGTTCTTACAGTGTATTTGAATAAAAATCAAAAAAATCTGATTTAAATCAAAAAAATCCGATTTAAATCAAAAAAATCTGATTCCTTTTATTTTTTTTAAAAAAATCAAAAAAATCACGAACCCTGCTATAAACTAGTATCATCATTGCCACCTTGACTCTGCATTATTTTTGCTTTTCTTACTTTCACTAATCTTAGAAAACTAAGCAGAATTCTAGTAATACCATTACAATATTTAAGATATTAGACAAAGATATTTGAATATAAAAATAATTTATTAGCAGTTTAATACATATATAAAATTTAGAAACAAGATAATACAACTAAATATATCACTATTATGCTTTTGAACTTTCATCCATAAGACAAAATTTGATCACATGCAACATTTTATGGACTTAAAAATATTTGTTAGTCATAAAAATATGCCATTAAAGGCTTGCTTACATTAAAGTTTACAATATAAAAGGTATTTAATTGCAGTGAGTAGTCAAAAATCATGCTCATATACTTTTATTGCAAAGAAATTATAAAAAAAAAGGTATTTACAGACCTATTCTCTGAACAGGAGATAAAAATCAGAATGACATAACATGCAGAAAAGTTGTAAAGATTATTATGTGTCATGTTATAATCACACAGCTAATGACAAAAATTTTGAATTCCCAGATCAGAAAACACTGATGTCAGAAACATTAATTTTAAAATACTAAGCTCTGAGAAAACTCAAACGCCAAAAATATTTTTTTATTACACAAGCATGTATTTAAGCAAGGAAGAAAAATATGTTGTAGCAGACTATGAAAGATATACAGAGAGTAAAACAATATTAGTATCTTAATTTTTATAGAGAAAAGGTTACGATTCCTATTTTAATTGAGTAGACTGCTAAGTGTTGATATTTAAAGTTAGGACCAACATAAAACCTTATAACCCTTGCTATATATGCTCAAATAAAATATAATTATGTTAAATTAAATCAGGTTAAGAAAGCCAGAATAGGGGTTTCATGCCTCTCGCCAAATTAAAAAGATTGACATTGAATTAAAAATTCGACAATTTTTTTATTTGAAACGTAAAGCTCTCTTCATTCAAAGGTCATAAACGATTGCTAAATTTAAACAAAAAGCATAAAAAAAAACAAAAAGTATTTTTCTACCATATTGTTTTAACTACATTTTAATAATATTTAAATTTTGTTGATTTACAGCAAGCAGCTTCTGTAATCTTAAGAAAACAAAATAAATTAAAATTAATAAAAAAAATTTTTTGGCACAATTCAAATTGTATGTACAAAAATACCATTAAATTGATTTACGATGAGATAATAAAAAAATCAGTAATATAAACATGCAATACATTAAATACACGCATAATTTATTTCATGTTTCTTTTAATATTGCACTAACTTCCTGATTTCCAACAAATTGCTTTCTTTTTATATTAATACAGTTTTACTATATAATCTAAAAATATCACAATAGATTTTTGGAAAATACAGCAAACTAGCTAAACATGACATGACTTATATTTAACACTGTTGAGACGATAAAATGATTTGCTCGTGAGATATGCATTTAAATATTAACTTAATACTAACAACAATTTAACTTGGGATCTACTAATAATGTTTCATTATTACAACCACTTTAGAAAATATATTTTATCAATCTGATTATTATCTAATACTACTTTTAATTGTTATTAACTCCTATGCTCATTTTCAGTTAGATTTTAAATGTTTTAAAGTTCACTTTTAATTTAAATGTTCATTTTCAATTCAAATGTTCATTTTTAACAAATGTTCACTTTTAACTTAAAATAACCAAAGATTTTTTTTTCAAAGCACTTTGATATGGAATGTGTGAAAAACGGAAGTTCTGACTATAAAACTAGCAAATGATATTTAAATGTTCGATAAATAAACAAAAATAAATAAAACTGATTGTATATAACATAAGACAATGTTGAATAAATTAATTAATACATGTGTGTGATTTTTTTATCATAAATAATTATAAAGACATAAGTACATAAACTATATAAGTACATAAGTTCAATAGATGTAAGGCCTTTTTAGATGATCACAGCAATTAAAAATATAAGCAGCTTAAAATTTTATAAGCATTATACTATGGTATATTCAATTTGTGTTTCTATGTTGTATTTCTATATTGTATCTAGAAATACAACTTAATTTGACTATGAAACACAACTGAACTAAATCTGATAAAGGCAAAAAACCAATGTAGATTCCTAGAAGAAAAATGTTTTCTGAACCACAAAACACAAGATAATAATCTTAAATGATAGGTAAATATAAAAGTAATTATTTGTATAACACTCTCAAATATATATATATATATATATATNTTCATATATATATATATAATGTAAGTACAATGCTCAGTTGTATCAACCCTACAATGAATCACACAACTATCTTTAAAAATGATAGTTTAAAATACTTATCTAATACCAAATGAATAAAAAAAAATTACTCTTAGAGTCATGTAATCTTAGTAACATTCTACAAACATCATAAAGCTTACCATAAATATAAACATTTGTTCCTTTTTAAAATAATATATTGCTGGTTTAAAAAAATAAATTTAAAAAAGCTTTATATACTGTCATGGTGTTCATGTTCATAATACATTATTTAAGCAATAAATAAGGATTAAAAAAGAAGTATAAAACAGTAGTGTGTGTATATAATGTAATGTAAAAATGTCAAGTAATGTAAGCACAATGATTCTTTATCACATAATCAACCAAATGAAAACTTTTAAATTACCAACATTAACACTTGTATTGTAAGATTAACCGTTCGAGTGAGGCGAAGTGCTATCGCGCTTCGCTTGTTATGTGCCGAAAATGCGGAAAAGCGTGATATCGATTCTCTTGTTTTGTACCAAAAATTTAATAAGAATAAAAAATATTTTTGTTGGTAAAAATTACTTGTTACATAATAATTAGTGTTAATTATAACCATTTCTATTGTTCGCCAAAAAAAATGACTACGCATTTCATTCTGCATTATTAGCATATATATAAGAAAACTCTTCAGCACTCAAACGGTTAAAACATAAATTAAAAGTTTTATTATGTCATCGAATTGGAATAAAATAGAATAAATTAAATTAGAGTAAAATAAAAATTGATCATTTTAAAATAATACTGCTAAACCAATTAAAACATTAATTTTGTGGTGCATCAAGGCTTACTAAACCAATGCATATAGATATTCAAAATTACAATGCGTTAAAAAAAAGTTAATTTCATAACATTGCATGTAAAATTAAATAGATCTTATTGATATTAAAAAAGCATTTACAAGACTTGAAAGATTGAATAAACTAAAGATAATGCATTTCTTCCCCTCAATTAAATAACTTTTTAAATAGTATTTCTGAAGTAATTATGAGGGATGAAATAAATCACAATACCTAGTAGTAATATACATAAAAAAAATAACCCCAAAAAACTCCCGACAGTCCAAAAATATGTTCCACAGAGAAAGTAATCACACTATGTAGCATCTTTCATAATTTTTTCAAGATATAACTTGATTCGGGGCCATATTTCATTAGACTCTTTGCCAGTAAATTCTTGTAAAAGCATTTTCTTCCTGGATCGAAATGAAAAAAAAAAGAAATATTTTATCAAACAGGCTTCAGCATTCTACTATCAATAAGTTCTATGAGCTTTAAAGAAGTTAAATACTGTGCGCACAAAAAAAATAACCTGGTTGTGGATCATATTTTAAGTTACAAAATCAAATGAAAAAATATAGTTTCTCTGAATAAACACACTTTCTTCTACAGATTTGGATTTTTGACCTTCATAATTTCACTTATAGCTGCAATCAAAAGATATGGTCTCAAAAGCTTAGTCAATAGATTGGTTGGAAGTCTGACCCCTTAATGTTCATTTTACATAATACGTATTTTGCCATTTTGCATATTTCTATTGCTAAGTAAATTAAATGTTTTTTCATATAACTTTAGAACTTTCTAATCTCAAGATAATTCAATACAAAAAAACATCGGAACTGATTTTTTAGGCATCTGCACCCGATGTTTGCAGATTTTTTCTCTGGCCAAGCTGATAATAATCTAGCTTGAGTTATATTGTATCGGGTTGTTCGGAAAGTAATTTCGTTTTTCCGACAGAGAATTTAATTGTATTTTTTCGAACCTAACTTCACACTTAAGCCGCATTATCATTATATGTTTTGAGAGCTGATATAGCAAGGCTTGTGAGTGAAAAAGTTCAATTAATTCAACACAGTAGTTTTTGGTTGGTGCCCTTTTAAATATGGAGAGCAATAAACAGCATTTTCGTCATATTTTACTTTTTTACTATAGAAAAGGTAAAAATGCTGTTCATACCAGAAAGAAATTCACTGATGTGTATGGAAAAGATGTGTTGACAGTACGCCAGTGACAGAATTGGTTTGCAAAATTTCGATCCGGCAATTTTGATGTCGAAGATGCACCATGTTCTGGAAGGCCCACTGATAAAGACATGATAAAGGCATTAGTCGATGCAAAACGGCGAATAACACAACACGTGAGATCGGTAAGAGGTTAAATTTATCGAATTCAACTGTTTATGACCACTTGAAACACGGAGCTACTTGAAAGGCCTGGGTTTAACCTCGAAGCGCGATATATGGGTTTCCCATGTTCTGACGGAGTGAAATTTGTGCCGTCACGTTGACGTCTGTGATTCGCCTCTCAAATGTCACGAAAATGATCCATTTTTGAAGAGCATCATTACTGGGGATGAAAAATGGGTTGTCTATAGCAATGTCAAACGAATGAACAAAGATGAACTGGCTCAAAGCATTTCGAAAGCCAATATCCATTAAAAAAAGGTGATGCTGTCTGTTTGGTGGGATTTTAAAGGTATAGTCTTTTTGAGCTTTTACCGGGTAACACAACACTTAATTCGGAAGTCTACTGTCGTCAACTGGACAAACTGAATGATGCTCTTCAACAGAAAAGGTTAGAATTAATCAACAAAAAAGGTATAGTGTTCTACCAAGATAATGCGAGGCCTCATACAAGTTTGATCACTCCCCAAAAGCTTTTACAGCTTGAATGGGATACACTGTCACACCCAACATAATCTCCAGATCTGGCACATTCGGATTATTATTTGTTCCGAATGTGCATTATTTGTTATTTGTTGTACAAAATTTTTTGGACTGTAAAACCTTTACTTCAAATGAAAAGGTCAAAAATCACCTGGATGAGTTTTTTGCCAGCAAGAACCAAAACTTTTATGAGCGTGGAATCATGCTACTACCAGAAAGATGGCAAAAGGTGTTGGATCAGAACAGCATCATTACTGGCCAATAAATAATTTTCTAATGGCCAGAATGGCCAATAAATAATTTACTAAAATATTTATTCATTATACGAAAATTCCCTTTCATTTCCCCTCCAAAAACGAAATTACTTTCCGAACAACCCTATAATTATCACAGAGAAGTTAATGAAATTCTGGGAGAATGTATAGGAAGCGGATATTTGACATTGTAATAATGATTATGACTATCTTCTATTTGGATGGGAAAATAAGAAAGAGTAATGACGTGTTGAATGATTTATTGGTGCTTTGCTTTTGTACATAACATTTTCTATGGAAATTTATTTATTGCATTTCGGTTTTAAGATTGAATTTTGAGTAGTTTTTTTTCTTCTGCAGAATGAATAATTTGGTGGGTGCAATTGGGTTTTTAGTCAAAGTTACCTTTTAATTTGAGTTAGCATGTTAGTTGGTTGTGATTTTTCAAAGTGAGTTATTAATGATCTAGGCATGATTAGAAGTTGAATTAAGATTTAGTAGATTAAGAAGTTTTTATTAGGAAAAGATGTATATATTTTTAAGAAGTTTTTATTAGGAAAAGATGTATATATTTTATGCTTTTGTTACAATTAAGGATATTTTAGTGTATTTAGACTTTAATGGGGATAGGGGCATTACATGATTTTTTTAATAGTTTTTTGAAGAGTTGGAAATGGAATATGACCTTATAATATCTATTTTTTATTCCTAATTTTCCTTATAGTATCTATTTTTGGTAAATTTTGTGTGTGTTTGTAATATTGGATATTCTTGGATTGTTATCGATGATGTCATCAATTAGAAGATTTATAGCTGTGAAAGTGGAATAATCTTTCACTTTTAGGTGGGTTTTTATACGCTTAATTTCTAAGGGATATTCTGTTTTTTTTTGTGGTTAATTTTAACAAACTGGTAACAATTGTTGATAATAAAACTGTTGCCTATATTTTAATATTGATTTGTGGATTGTTTTGTTTATGGAATGTTAAAAAAGAGAGAGAGAGCGTGAAACATTACATTTACTGAAAATGTGTGCAAATGCTTACAAAACTGTAGTCTAGATGTAATGATTTGATATAGATCTGCAGTATTTTTCATTTATGAACTATAATTTTGTGTTAATAAATGCCTGTGAAGTAGGTTATATTTTAATTTAATAGTTAAGTTAGTGACATTTTTTTTCAGGTTAAGTACCATTGCCCGTCATACCTAGCTGTTGCTTAAAATTGACAGTAATACAAGTAACCTTCGAATTTTGTACTGTTGCAATACTTGATTTTTATTTTAACATTGGTGCATGCATGTAACGAAATAGTTACCTGGGAGCTAACGTTTGTTACAGATCTGCAGCTATTTATGAAATGCATGTTTTGTGTTAAACAATGACTGTAAGGCAAATGAACTTCGAATTTATTAGGGTCACAATGCATGATCGCATTTTTGGCATGTGACAAAAGTGGTGCTAATAGGAATAGGCCAAAAAAGGTTGTCGAGAAAAAAAAATCACCAAACATTGAGTGCAGATGCTTGACAAATCAGCTCAAAATTATTTTTTAAATTCCAAATTATTAGTTATAAATAATTTAAATAGTTTAGAAGTGTAAAGCAGACAATTATGTTAAAATACATAATTTAAGCTTTCAAATTATGTATTTTAAAAATTAATGCCATAAGTGCCATGAGAAAACCTTTAACATATTCGAATTTTTTCCTGACCACAGAAATCCTGGTATAGTGAATATCAAACTAAACGCATTTCTTATAATTTCACACCAGATCTGGAGGTTATCTGATGAGGCTGCTTTTAGCCGCACAATAACTGACGAATAATTTGGAAAAATTTAGATAATTTGCTATTTAGATAATTGTGATAATTAGATTAAATTCATCTAACAATCTGTATGAATTGAACTAATAATGATATTTTAATTCATTTCACTTTTTCAAATCATAAATTAAGCGTAACAAACAATAGCATATCAACCGTACAATTTAAAGTAGTATTAAAAAATTCAGGAAAAAATTTTTTTTTGATTTTATCAGCTTTTATATATACTGAGTGATGCACGACAGGATTACATCAACAAATGTTAACAATTTGATATAAACTATTCTCCTCCTACATAAAGCATATTTCTGCACTATAGCCTTTTTTTCTGCACTATAGCCAGCACTTAAGTATTTTGACCATCAGACATGAAAAAATTTAGTCATAACAATCTTTCACTATGACGGAAAGTTAATTAAATTGCAACGAGGTACGTAATTACCAGAAAAATGTCACTAACTATTAGTTTGTGATTATATCATGAAGAATGAGAAAATGAGTAGTATGAACTTAGATTAGACTGATTAGGCATAATTATCAATATTTTCAACAATTATGTATGTAGTTTTCCACACCTTTGCAAAATTAGTAAGACCTGTGTTTGTTATGTAAATTACGTATGAACTTAGATTAGACTGATTAGGCATAATCATCAATATTTTCAACAATTATGTATGTAGTTTTCCACACCTTTGCAAAATTAGTAAGACCTGTGTTTGTTATGTAAATTACGTAATCTAAAATTCAGCAAAAATTTTAACACCTTAAATTTTAACAAAAAGATATTTAAATATTAATTTAAATAATAAAAATTAGTTATAAAAATTCGTTTTTTGAATAGAATTATTTTTCAATAGAGAAGATTTGTAATTTTATAAATTACATTTCTGATTTGCTAACATAGTTCCACAGATATGAGCGTGGCAAAATATGTTATACAGTACAGAACCTGTTATCCTGAAATCAGTAAACCGGAAAACTAAAAAACCGGAACGAAATTCGATAAATTTTTCCGCCATTTTAAAAAAAAAAAAAAATTTTCCTCGTAAGATTTTAGGATTTTCCTTTCTTTTTTTAAAGATGTTTACCTTACCATCATTTTGGAAATAATCAAAATCATANGATTATTTCCAAATAATTTTTTTTTTAGTTGGGTTTAACAATAAAAGAAAACTGCTTTTTGTAGCGATTCAGAAAACCGGAAAAATCAGTTACCCGGAATAGCGATGGTCCCGATCGTTCCGGATAATCGGTTCCCTACTGTACTACTTAGTCATGTTATAGGAGTTAATGCTTTGTCAAGTTATAATGTTTATTATATAATAAGCATATTTTCAAGATTGCAGCTACCTATGACATAAAGATCAAAACTCTGAATCTGTAGGGAAAAATGGTAAGTTTGTTGAGAGAGAATTAGTTTTGTCTCTTAATCTTTGCAACTTAAAATACTGTCTGAACTAGTTAATTAATATATTTAAGATCTAACCCTCAAATCCTTAAGCTTGTATTTTAGTACATTAAAATTCGATCAATACATATAAAGTTTTTCAGGGTGTTAATTTTTTTCTTAGTACACTCAATATATATATATATATATATTTATGAATAAATATGTATTTTCAGAGAAATCTTAAACATAATCATTATAATGTTATTATCTTTAAGAATCCGGTTTTTGTTGCTATTTGTACAGTCAATGCTAATAAAAATTAATGTACAGTCAAACCTTGTTAAAATAAAGTCAAAGAGTAGCAAAAATCATTTCGTATAAACCGAAAGTCATATTAACCAATAAAAAAGTAAAAGACATTTCTGATGATATTAAAAAACAAATCACTAAAACAAACATCAAAGAATATAAATGATATATATCGAGAATTGAATGTAATAAATGTGAAACAACCTGTAAAAATAAATTTTACTCCCTTAAGTTAGATTTAAAAATATAATTTATTGATTTCTTTCATCTATCACTAACATAATATATATAAAATCTTCTGCTTCATATTGAAAGTTCTTTTTTTCTCACTCATTTTCACAATGTGCAAGAAACCAAATAAAACATTTACAAAAAAAAAATTGTGTTTTTAATAACATGATGGGGAAATTGTTTACATTACCTATAATGCATAATGTTGTCATTGCCTACATTTCTTAAGTCATAAAATGCCTTTCAGTAAGTTTTATAATGGAATTTATATTTATCTAAAAATATGGTACCTGTAATATTCTAGTACAGGTGAATTCTCCTTTCGGTAGTTAGAAAGTCGAGCCAGCACAACATCTGGTTTATCATCATCCCTTTGAACTAAACTTTCACCAGTTATATCATCTTTCCCCTTTGATAAAGAAGCATTTTAAACAACACTCACAATAACTTTGCTTTAATTAAAAGTTTGTTTTCAAATGCATTACTCTGGTAAAAACAACATAGTTATGAAAATAGTTTATTCATAGGTAAAAAGTGCTGGTAGAAGCCAAGACAGTCTTTTCTAGAATGAAAGGGACTGTGAGTGTACATTTTTTTTATTAAAAAATATGGGGTCATTTAGATAAAATGTATTACATAGCTGAAGGATAACTAAGAATATTTTTCTTCAAAATAAACATTTATTCTATAACATAGTTTTAAATAAAATATATGTTTAATTATTTTCTGTGACAAATAAATTAAGTAATTATTTGTAGTCCTAACTTAGTCTTCTAATTCATTTGAAAATTGAAATCATTAAAGAAACTGAATTATTTGGACTCATGATTCTATTTCTTACATTTATAAGAACTTTAATATTAAAAAGCTAATTTAAATTACTTTGACGTACATTACATTAAAAATATAATGATATAGAAACCAACTATTGAACAAATACAATAAATTATAGCAGCATACTATTACTAGAAAATATTAAAATAACATATTTGATTTTTTTCTCTCCCTAAGCTGTAGTCCATAGGTTCTCAACCTTTTTAACGTTGCCGCCCCCTTAAGGAGCAAAAAATATTTCAACGCCCCCCTTTATAAAAATCCTGTTATTTTGAGCATGGGGACGGAGGGATGTGTACTGAATTATAAGAGGCAAATTTTTTAAGCCATTTTTTTACCCTTTGAATTTGTTTGGTTCTTTAAAAAATAATAAATTAACTCGATAATTTTCTCATGGCAGGTAATCGCCGTCTATTTGTTATGATCAAAATAAATACGTTTAATGAAAAAAAAAATACAACTAAGAAGCCTATGCTTAAAAAGAATAATTTATTCTAAATTAGATAATTAAAATAACACCCAAAATAATTTTGTTACACTAAAAAGTAGTATCAACGAAACTACTTTTTACAAGGAAGTAGTATCAAGTAACTATGTTAGTGGGATGATTGTACTTAATGGTTCAGAACCAATTCCTTAATGCTCGGTTCAATACTTTTAGTGAGATGAAGATGCAAATACCCACATTTGCACAATTTCGAGTCGATTTCTTCTTTTTGTGACAAGATCCGTAACAGCACTGAATCCACATTCGACAAGTTAAGAGGCAAGGAAGGCAATTAAAAAATTTTTAACGATAGTCTACAGTCCAAGATAGAGACGACTGGTACCTTTAACACAAGATTGCCCATGGAAGTCATTTTGACTGCTTTTTAATTTCAATTAGAAAAACAATGATAACACAATTTCTTAGAATTTTGTGACTTTTTGTACAACATATAATTTTTTTATTGTTAATATTTACAAATAACTTGTTATATAACTGAAAATAATAACAAAAATATTAAATTTTATTTTAAACAAATTTCTTTATACATTAGTTATGCTTTCTTTATTCATTAGTTATTCTATGCAGTCATTTTAACTGCTTTTGAGCAATATAGGTATTTCAGTCTTTTTAGAGTTAAGTAAAAATTCTGTGAGACAATCACCATTTCAAAGTTTCATTAGTTAAAAGTTCGACCAATTCCTCGTAAATCTGAACCTGTGCTGTTTCAATATTTACAAAAGGGTTCATAAAACCCATTGAGGGACTTCGAGGGAACAAAACATCTTTAAAATGGTCAGAAAAGTCCATGTGCAAAGAGTCAAGGTGTTGACAATATTCTTGTGCATGTGCATCATCAGAGAGAATTTTGCCTGCATGGCTGAACTCATTCCAACCAAAATTCTGCTAAAACAAAATCAGTTTTTTTAGAAAGGCGAAAATAACTTATTTTGTAGGGATCGAATTGAACTCGTCGCCTTGAAGTTGTAAATTAATGCCATTAAATTTTTCAGATAAATCAGCCAAAGCCTTTCTTAAATTCTAGCAATCTGTCTCTTAGAGCTACATTTCTGTTTTCAAGGAACTCAAGCACAGAGTCGAAAAGATTCTAATACCTATTGAGACAGAAGCTTTTGGAAGGTCAGTGAATCTCGGTGTATATTGCAAGCGATCGAATTCTTCATCGTTTTTCTTACACAGTTGTCTAAATAATTAATCTTAGAGAGCATTACTGTGAATTTTATTCACAGCAGATACGGCATATTGCAATGATTGATGCAAACAGTCACTGAGATTTTTTCTTACTAAATACTGTCTGTGAATCACGCAGTGAACAGCTAAAATATCTGGTACCTCCCTTTCCAAAAGGGCGATAAACTCACGATGTCGACCCACCATTGCAGGAGCCTATCGGTGGGAATGGACATAATATTCGCAAGAGGAATGTTTTTCTCTTTAAAATAATCTTTGACAGTACTAAAAATAGATTTACTTTTGATATCTACAATCAAGCTTCTTGCAAAAAGCATATCTTGAATAATTTTCCCTTCCTTTACAAACCGGATCTATGCCTACAGTAAAGCCTGCATTATCTGGCAAGGTAGATTCATCAACTTGAAGGGAAAATTTGTTGGACATCAAAAGTTTGCATAAAGAAATTTCAACGTCTTCACCCATCTCATCATTTCGTCGCCGCACTGAATCGTTGCTTATGGGATAGTTTTTTATTACATTGGATGATGTAAAACTGTTTCTAAAACTTCCTTGACAACCGGCAGTATCAACTCTACTCCGATGGTTTGAGCTTTCCCAGACTTAGCAACAAATTTTGATATATTATAAGAAGGGATCAAACCATCGTCGCATTTTTTTGATGACGTTACTAGTAACCCTGAGACCGAAGGTGCCTTCAGAAACGTGAAAAAACACGTTCGTAAAAAATGACAAATCTATATCTAGTTTTTTGCAAATGCTCTTGCTAACAGTAAGATTTCCTTACCTCATTAGATAAAACTTTATTACAAAGTAAACACATAGGTAATTGAGAGTTCAACAGTAATTGAACAAATCCCAACTTCAAGTACGTGACACTGCATTGATGACACTTCTTTTCGTCAACCGACATTGTTGGTGTCAGCAAAATACAAACGATGAAAGAAAATCAACTATTTCTCAAAATTAATAAATAATTTATGATACTATAAAGAACTAATTTGCGTACGTACCTGGCCAAATAAACTATGAGATCTAATCGAAACTGGGGGAAAAAACCGCAAAGAAAGCTAACGAAAACAATTATAAGAAACACGGGTCCAATCAAATATTCATACTGAAAGCGCATGTACTGCAATTTCCACCAAATGGTTTGAATGAGTCAGAGGCAAAAACTACTTGCTCATGCGCTGAGCTGTGTAAGTTCGGATCGAAGATTAGGTGTCGTATAAGTTCGTTTTATTGCTGCTTCAAATAGTGTATAGGATAATCTTTATTTATTATATTCATTTAATCTTTTTTTCTTTATTATAAATTTTTTTATTAAATTAATCTTAATTTAATAATTTTATTTGTAAATTTTAAAATTAAATTTGAATGACAAAACATGCTCAACGCCCCCCTACCGCCCAAAACATACCCAACGCCCCCCTACTGCCCAAAACAAGTTCACCGCCTCTCAGCATAGTCCCACCGCCCCCAGGGGGGCGGTATCGCCCCCGTTGAGAACCAATGCTGTAGTCTATAACACTAGTATTTCTCTTAGACCTGAATGAAATGAGATAATTTGTGGAATATATTATGTAGAAGGGGTCAAAAAGTTAGACTAGAGGCAAAATTTTTTCCCTTTGATACAACACAAATATATTTCATAGAAATTGATTATGAAGAATTCTCAACTTTATCTGAGAGGTCCTAATAAAAAAAGTTAATAAGAAATACTAACATCCAATAAAAAATAGTAACACTTGCCTAAAAAACTACTGTATGCAACTTGTCCAAAATCTCCCATTAAATAAAGTTTAACTTTACAAGACAGTTTGTTTAAAAGAAAAAAGAAGAAAAAGAAAGATTGTATAAAGAAATTTATGACATAGCGAAAAAACTACATTAACTTTCCTTCTTTTAAAAGAAAAAAAATATTTAAAGAAAGAATGAATTAAAATTTTTGCCATTCTTTTTCTATACCATTAGTTCAAATCAAAGCTACCTATGGATAGGTTCACATTTTTTTAAATGAAATTTTGTAATCATTCAGATTAACTCAAAAAAGAATTTATTCATTATTGCTCTTTTACTAACCCTAAACAAAACAAATTCCAAATTAATTTAATCAGCACTTGCGAATAAACATCCACTTTTTTTTATTTTTCAAACTATTTTTATTTTCAGTCAAATGCTCTTTCATTCCCATTATTTTTCCAGGAGAGATTCAGAATACTAAGATTGTACTAAATTTTATTTTATTATTATTTTTTTCAATTTTTTGAATCAATTTAGAGAAATTTTTTTTTTTTTAAATCTGTATTGCTACTTTAGAAAACTTTATTTAAATGATAATAGTAGAAAAGAGCTATAACACTTGAATTATAGAAATACTTAAATATTAGAAAGTAACTTTACAACGGTTAAAATAAATGCCAGGGCTGGAGGAAGGGATTTTAGGGATTATATGATTAAGTACATTATTAAGGGATTATAGATATGGATGTTTACAGTCATTAAATTATTAATTTCCTCCTTTTTTCAAATATTGTTTGTTTGAAAAGTATATTTATAGGATTTACTTTTTCATTATATATTCTTAGAATTAACTTTCTTTATAGTCAAAAGTTCTCTGTGTAAAAGTTTTATTTAAGCTTCATGCCAATATTCCCAAAGAATTAATGCCTGGCACAAAAAGAGGAAGGAATAACCTTAAAGAATAACCATGTGATTTTAGGTCTCTTCTAATTTAGTCCTAGATCCATTCTTTTTAATTTAGTGTGTTCAATATTGTGTGTATAGTGCATAGAATTATTTTTAATGAAGCATCATTTCTGAATTTGGATGAGCAATCAGAACATTTTTTTTTTGTCATTGATTTACTCTTTAAT